GATCAAGCCTAATTACATTAAATTAATTTAATTGAGCCTAGCTAATCATTACTAAGTTCTTACCGCTCTCGCGGCGTAGAGTACAATAATTTAGGGGACCAGGCTGATCTCTCATGCGACATGATCCTAAATTATTGCCAAGACGAGCGAGCTTACGCCCCCTTAATCGCTACTAATCTCTTAGCGAACGATTAAGTGTGTGTGAATGTGTCCTAGAACAAATTAGATCTCTCTTAATTTATTCTACATGCAATTGTAATTCTAGTCGCGATTCTAGGTTACAAAAGATATCAATTAAATTATTCAAACACAAATCAAACGGCATTCATGCAATTAAACCGAAAAGAATCTAGCCATACATCATGATTAACCCCTTCATCAATCTCAAATCCCTAATTAAAACTACTCACAATTCATAATTGAAGAATCAATAGAATTGGAATAAAAAGAATTAATTGTCATTAATTACAAAGGTGGAACTTACAAAGAATCCCAAAAGATTGATGAACAAGGCTGAAAAGCCCTCTAAAATTCGTGCTAGGCACTCTCTCTAAGCTCCCCCTCTGAAAACGGGGGTTTACAGGCTGTTTAAATAGAAAAATCGGGTGAAATTTAAGCCGAATTAGGATTTTCGGAGCCAGACACGATGCCAGGCACGATCGTGCCTTCAATCGTGCCTCCGGATCAAAAACGCGCATTTTGGGCAGGCACGATCGTGCCTCCCTCCAGGCACGATCGTGCCTGGCTGGCAGTAACTCCGCGGTGCTTTTCTCTTCAGGCACGATCGTGTCTGACTTTGAGGGCACGATCGTGCCTACTTAACTTCCGAATTTGACAAAACTTCCTTCATGAAAGTTGTAGATAATGAAGTCCTCTATTCACCCCAATTTGCCGAATGTGATTTGAATCATCCAATCAAGAGATATGATTAAAACGGTGGAAGGTGTCTTTCTGAAATCGCAGCAGAGATCATCTGACTTCATCGTCTGTTTTCACCTTCTTCCTTTCAGATTCTCGCAAAGGTGTCTTCATATGATTTGTGGCCCTTGAAGTTGGCTTTCCTATGCAACTTGAATCGTGTCCATTGGTTGTTCCTACAAAGAGATAAGTTTGAACGATTGACAGAAGGTCATTCTGATCGTAGTTTTCAAGCTTTATTCATCTTCTTTTGATCCCGAAGCCAATCCTAGAGGTCTTTTTTCCTTCAAATCTTCATCGTGAATCTTCCGGTGACCTCCAAAGCTATCAAATCATTCTCAAATGCTTCTCAAATCATCCCGATTGTTCCTCAAGTGCCGGTACCCGGGCTCAAATTCCCTGATTTTGATTACAAACAACACAAAACCCAAACCAACGCCCGGTAAACATAACTTGGGCTAAAATTGAGACTTGCAACACCTTAAAGCTGGGAAAACCATCAAAAGTTGATCTCAACACGCATCAAATGCGTGTCTAAATACAGACTTATCAATGCGACTATATCTTCTTTTTTAATCATCAAGCAATTTATTCAGCACAGTCAAATATGTTGGTATTTATGTGTTTTGGTGTAAAGTCCCGGTCCGTAAAAAAGAAACTTTTTCTACCCAAAGGACACTTTGTAGTTATTATTCACACTTCTCAAACGAGAAGAAAGTTAATTTATCTCAATTACGTTGGAGTTGATGACCTGATTACCTGAATGTCCGTGTCAATTATTTGTCTAATTTACTAACACTATGAATCTATGATGTTGTAGAAATAGATGGATTATGTTATTTTGTCATATTTCAATCAGACTTTCTTGAAAGTGTAAATTCTTTGGTTGCAGGGGGAGCAACCAAAGAAGACGAAGAAAGTTGAATAAATCTCATCTTCATTCTGTTATCTTTAACAGGCCCTCTAGCAGTCAAATCTGAATTCAGGCATTTAGCTATCATCTATCTGCCTTAGCTGCACCTAAGGACAGTCATCGCCTATTCTGGTTTGAAATCAGGGTTCCTCGGACGTTTGCGGTGGTATTAAATAAGAACCTGTGGTATCGACTATCCATATTGTATAAAAGAATATTTGCTTTTTCCCACGCATTTGTTGTTTCATTGACTCTATGAATTCCAATTTCAAGTCACTGGTCTCAATGTTTTTATCTGAGGTGTTGATGATGTTCTGTGATCCTTTGCTTTGGATACCCAATTTACCTTTAAAAATTCATTGCTTCATCAAATTTAGGAAATAATTACTAGTAATTATAGCCGAATTTCAATCATAGAACTTATGCTCAATTTTTTAAAATTAAGTGACTATGACATTATACCGTAATAACTACTCCGTATTAGTCTATCAATATGGGGTTGCAACTACGTCGAATGAGATTGCAACTATGTCTGGGATGCAACTCCGTATTATACTGATTTTAAGTGTTCTAGCGTTTGGGATTGCAACCACGTCGGATGAGATAGCGTTGGCGGATGAATGAGGTGCGGTTGGGAGGTTGTATCTAGATTGGATCGTGAAACTTTGGTTGGTCATTCCGGCGGTTGTGGAGTTGTTATTCACCTATATTGCAAGAGCTTGTCCTCCTCCGAAACCACTCCATACCAGGATTCCAGGAAAAGCTTTGTGAAAAGATTTTATTTTAGTATTATTTTCACTTTAGTAGCAATTGTTTCTATTTTAGTCCGAGTAGATTTGGTTTGAATGTTTGGATTTTTGGAGTTCTTTTGATAGACAGGGTTGTGGTTCCGGTCGTTTTAGGCCTAAATTTGTCCGTTTTAGGTTTAGCGAGTCATGTTGGTTTGTATGAGGTGGCTGACTCTAAGTCTAGGTTCACAATTGGATCCGTAAATTTTGAATAAAGGTTGTCTTGTATGTGTTCTTGATTTTAATATAACAGACGCTCTTTTATGATAACAAAAACTATTAGTCATATTTGCATTAATAAGTTTTATTTTAGTAATATTTTTGAAAAAGATTCCATATTTATAGTTTAAACCATGTGTAAAATTTGGCTAAAGTTGTTTAATACATTTAAATGATTGAATAAAAGTAATTAAAAAAAATATTGTATTGTTCAACAATATAAATGAATATTATGATGAATAAGAATAAAGGTAAATTTTCATTTTCGTTAAATTAGGTAAGATCAAACTTCTTAGAAAAAAATATGAAGGCAATGTAGAAATGTATGATTTCAAAGTGGTCGCTAAGTACAGTTAAAGTTAAAATTTGAAATAAATACATTTATGCATGAATTGTTTGTGAAATAAAAGAATATTGTATTGTTCAACAATATGAAAGAATATTATGATGAATAAGAATAAAGGTAAATTTATGCTAAGTACAGTTAAAGTTAAAATTTGAAGTAAATACATTTATGCATGATTTTTTTTGTGAAATAAAAGAACATTGTATTGTTCAACAATATAAAAGAATATTATGATGGATAAGAATAAAGGTAAATTTTCGTTTTCATTGAATTAGGTAAGATCAAATTTCATAGGAAAAAAAATATGAAGGCAATGTAGAAAAGTATGATTTCAAAGTGGTCACTAAGTATACTTAAAGTTTTTTTTATCATCAAAACAGACCTTTATTCATATCTAAAGATTCAGGATCATTACATCAAGCAAAGGGAAAATAAAACTAACAGCAACTGAAACTCCAACAACTACGGTCACCCCTGAGAGAGCAACACGAATCGCTAACCATATAGTGGGCTTGACACAACCAAACATGTTCTCATAGATCCAACCATACCCAATGACATAAAGAGAGGCAAAAAATCAAACAAACAGTCAAAACCAACAACAAAAAAGGACACAAGAAAACAAATAACAAACAGATAAAAACTAGAAGAAAAACTTTCACGAACTCTAGCACCTCGTACATCTCATGGTGGTGGTTCAGGAGGAGGTCATACCACCGGTACCATGCTAATTGATCCTCCATGACCTTTGGCTGCCAAAGACCATGCATCAATCCTCCGTCCCTGCATAACCAAACTCATCCATGCTCCGTGCGACCAGAGTAAATGGATAGGCGGCGCCGATCTTCTCTAACGACGACAGCAACGCCACATCCTTGAACCTTGACCACGACGCCGATCTCCTCGAGCCATGACAGCAAATCTGCCCTCCTCCACGGCTCCACCGATCTGCGCCCTCCGCGTCTGACCTGGACTCCAGCTGAGCACCAGCGACCAAGGGATAGCAAAGCCGATCTTCGACAAATTCGAAATCGGAAAAAGGTTCCAGCGGCCGACATAGTCGAAGCCCCGTATAGTTAAAGTTAAAATTTGAAATAAATACATTTATGTATGAATTGTTTTTGAAATAAAAGAGGTATGTTTATGTTAATTCATAAACAAAAACAGAATATTTGAAACATCTTTTGAAAGAATCAACTTCATTAAGCACGTTAATGTGCTTACAATAAAGCACATTTGATGTGATGAGCAAAGGGAGTAAGGGACTAGTTAATTTCATATACTGCCACATTTTTATGAGATATTCCCACTACTAATTTTTATTTATTTACGTTGTGTATTTAATAATAGTGTCAATTTCGATGGATGAGCTCGAATATATGATCACCACTTTGAAAGATAACAATGATTGATCAGACCAGTATTATATTTGATGATCACAAACTATTTTTATAAAAGAATGTGCGTTGTTTTATTTTTAAGAAAAAAAATTATAATTCATTGAGTAACTCAAGAGTCAATTCATACAAGTACTCCCTATTAGGAGTAGGGAAACTTTTGATCCTACGAGTTTTAGGTCATTTACATATTTAGTTCACATCTTTCACTTTGTCCACTTTTGATACATGACTATTGGGTTCTCGCACTTATATGATCCTTCCGGCATTGTTTTCGATGATTAAAATCGCCGCAAAAGGACCACAAACGGTTAAAACAACATTAGTCAGGTACCAAAAGTGGAAAAAATGAAAGACGTGAACTAAAAGTGGAATTGACACAAAACTCGTAGGACCAAAAATGAAATTAATTCTTAGGAGTAGTATTTTAGTTGATGTGGAAGCACGAATTCAATGAAAGACTGCAAGAGTAAGTATGACAACTTCTAACCACCAGTTTTAGTTTTTCTAACCTCCTTGAAAACTAACAACATTTTGTTTTTGCATGCTCACACATACAGTGTTCTCTCAGTTTAGGAACAAAAAATGCTATCAGTATTAAATACAGTGAGCATTTCCCTCAACTGATGCGGCAAACAGTTTAAGTGTGGATCCCCGTTTGTTAATCACCTCGATGGCAACCGAGCCTGCTGCGATACTCCAAGAAAACGCGCGCCGCACCGTAATGTGCCAAAGCACCAAAGATGACAAACACATGGAAGATCTGGTGACTCTGCCCAACTAAATCAAACGCCCCCGGTTTCCATCTCTCTGGAATTCTGCTCACATAGAACATCGCCCCAATGATGTAAAACAAAGCCATGGCTCCCTCGTAAGCCAGCATCACATTCCTGTTGTTATGTATACATTTAACAAATCCACACATGAAATCTATATGCTTCTCTTCCTAGAAAGTTGACCATTATGTACCATGAGAATGAATCTCGTTAGAAGAAAACAAGAAACAAAATCCTGAAGAACATTAAGAACATACTACCTCCGTTCCAAAAAATACTTCCCACTTTCTTTTTTGGGCGGTTCCAAAAAATACTTCCAACTTTCCTTTTTTTGGACAATTTGTGTGGCTCACATTCATTTTACCTTTTTCTTACACAACTACAACCATACATTTCCACTTTATTCCACTTTCTTAATAAGCGTGTCAATTCAAACCAGGATGTATTATTGGGAACAGATGGAGTATAAGAATAAAGATGTGCATGTGTAAACAAGTTTCTCTAAATGTATATAGTATGAATCAATCATGAACTTCATACTTAAAAAAACTTAATGAATTGATACTAACATTTTATATACATAAAAAATATAAGATCATAAATATAGATCTCAAATTCAAACACTCTTAATTTTACCTTCTTTTGGTTATTATCGAAAGACTGGTAATAGAACTAACGGCTTTTTCTCGATACGTGATTACAATTGATGAAATTTTGATTCTTATAGTTTAGGAGTAAATGAGTAATCATAAGAAGACATCAAACGTGAACAGTCTAAGAAGACTTTCATAACCATAGAAGAAGACTCCCAGAGCATTCATATTTAATTCATGATATTCAGTGCCTGTTAAATCACCAAATTTTAGGCCTTTCTAAAAGGTTTTTCCGCAGCCAATAGCACATGACTCAGTTTCCCACTCCTAATACTGGAAATTTATTATCATAACTAAACTTAATTTCAGGACATTTCTTATAATTACTAATGCAGATACGAATGGATTGGGATCCTCTACCCGACTAGGAGGGTGCCTTGCGCATCGGACGGGAGGGGAACGGCCAACACGACCTCGAGATCGGCAAAAAAGTGGAGCCCAAGATCTCCGACCGTTGAATTGTCGATCGGACGACCGGGAGGAAGCAAGGCACTCTACCTTACTCTAAAGTAAGGTAGAGGCTCCGGATCCGATACGAATGGAAGCCTATTGCTAATTCATATAATACCTGTAAGGGTCGCTCCAGTATACAACCAGAGCGTGGATAGCGGGAATCAGCCCAAATAGCCCCATGGCAATGAATAAACAGGCCCGAAATGACCTGTATTTACCCCTTGCAAACGCGGGAGTTAAGAGAGTGAGGGTAATGCATATGCCAATGATGGAGGTCCCGGTTAGGTAGACGATGTGCCAGGGTGGGGAGCATTGGAAGATGTAGTACATGGGAGGGAAGTAGGAGGTGAATATCATGACGGCTATTCCTACATAGTCCATTTGGGTCAGTACAAGGTTCATGGGTTGGGAGTGGCAACAGAAGAGGTGGCATACGCTGCTTGATAGGAAACAGAACACTGAACCCGCTAAGAAGACGTACAATGGCCATGTTGATGCAGCACTCATCTCTCCTGTTTTTATGACCATTTGTGATTCTTTACCTGTCATCATCCAATCAACCATCCGAGTTGGCACTCCCTGCACAATAGCAAAAAGAGACAATGTTGTATAACTCGCCATATAAATAGGGACATATAGGCCTAGTGCTTAGTCGGAGTAGTTCAATATTATCAAGACTTGAGGTTACATCTTAATACCTTAATAGTAATACTAAAATCTTATTTGACACAACATCTAATAACAAAACTTGAAAAAATAACTATCCGATGACGTATCAGTTTCAATTTACGATTTCAAAAGAAATCGAAAACAAACACAAGAAAAAAGGGATCATTCCTGCAAAATATCCTTTGTATTCCTAGAAATCTTGGCCTCTGAACCAGCAGGGAAGTTCCTGTAGGAAACAAATCAACCATGACCATAAAGTTAATGAAATTATGGAACTCCGTCACCATGTTGTTTAAGGAAAACGATTCAGATAGGGAATTCATCTAACTTGAGAAGCCACAAATAGTTTATAGCATACACATTCTTTCCCATTCACACATAATGCAAATCAATATAACTCATAACATGAGAAATTATGAATTGAATTGAATTGTAGTTATAAGTTTGTAAGTAAATCTTTGCATCTTTTCAAAGTCACTCAAACTTTTGGTTTACATCATTATAAATAATACGGAGTAATCATTTACTAAACCCTTTCCAAAAAATATAATCATTCCTTTCCCTAACCACACTGTAGTTCTCTTTTGAACTCTTATCCTATATATACTCTTCTGTAATCTAGTTATTATTAACTCAATTAATAAAATTGTTAAGTTGATCATTCTTCATTGTGTGTTGGTTCCAACTAACCCCGATTCGTTATTCATGACATTTAAGACAAAATAAATCAAAAGTACCAAAAAATTAATTTATAATACACACACACACACATATACATATAGAGTGTGTGTGCGTGTTACCTTAAGACCACTGTCATGAAATCAGCTAACTGATATAAATGGGAAGAATTTGCCACAATTAGTACCAAAATCAGAGCAAAACCAATCAAATGCCTGCGCAGTTAGAGAAGAAAAACACAAACTAATTAAGCTGATAAACCAAAATTAAGTGAATAATAACATGGGAAAATTAATAATAACAAGAATGGTCGAATATACTCACGTCCAAATGTTGAGAGTTTCATTGTGCCACCTAAAAATGCTGAAGAGGGCTTGTTTAAGGGGCCATTCGGATCTGTAGTAATTCAGAATAAATTCATTGTCTTTCATATATTCTGGCAATTCTTGATAAGACACCAAATCACATTTTCTCTTCTTCCTCGCCGCCGGTGATCCATCGGTGGTCGGTAAATGATACTCTTTCTTCTGACCCTTTTCTTGGATCATTATATGCTTCTTCCAAACACGCCCTTTACACCATATCACAGAAAATCCAGAGCTCAAAGACTTTAATTTTTAGCAGTTAGCCACAAGCTACAGAAATTGGTTATTTGTTGCATAAAACTTATTACAAACATTAGAATATGACAGTTTTCGTACACTAAACCATTAACTTATTTCTTGCGCCACTTGCACTATAGTCACATTTAGTGGGCGGCCCTATGAATTAAATGGCAACTGTATTTCACACGTTTGTACTTTTGAAATTGGTTCTGCTGCTCTTTCAACTAAGTGGAATAAATAAATTACAGATATAAAATTTGGGTATTGCTTCTTAGGAGGACATAGAGAATGATAAGTTATTGTTGCAAGTTGGTTTTATATAAAATTAACAGAATGACATTATATGATTGGTTATATATTACAGTAATATATTACATTGGATATATGATGTGAAAAAATATTTCAAATACTGTAATTTACAAAATCAGATTGACATTTGAAGAGGGCTCAAATGTAGATTCGATTGCAAAATACTCTAGATTGGATTGCAAGGTGAGCTTCCCTGATTAGATTGCAAATTACAAATTGCAAATGCCAAATTACAAATTGCCAATGCCTCTAAGTTTTCACATAAGAAATAAAATGTAATTTTTATTTGAATCAAAGTTTAGGTCGAGTTCTAATAAAAAGTGTTGTTCACATGTAAAGTGCAAACAACTTCACTTTTGCTCGTATGTGGTCCACTATTACATTCGAAGAATTTTTGTTATCCACTTTTAAATATATTTAGTAATATAATATAACCCTACTATACTCACGAAAATGTTACTATGTTTTTGTATCCAAATTAATACATTTTAAACATATTTATGATCATTAGGTCATAAATCTAGTGCATTTTATTTATTCTTTGTTGTTAGCATGAGGTAATCCGGACTTCATTAGACTAATTCTAAGCTCTCAAGAACTCGTCCATAAGTCTTTGAGAGATGTAAATCCAAAATCTCAAAATCACTTGAACAACTCACTAGATTTCAAGCATCATTTATACACCACCGCACACCGAAGAAATCATTCTCCACATGTTCTCATATAACCAACATTAACTGATCAAACATCACCAGATTCCCAATAAAAAACTAACTTTCACACTGCCGCTTGAGGCAAGAGGATACAACAAGTGCACGACCACTCGAGCTAACCCCAAAGACTAAAAGATCACCATTTGTGAAAATCATCTCAACAGGTAACAAAAACAAGAAACAAACACTGAAAAGTACGCCTATACAAAGTACTCACTCAGCAAGACACACTTGAAAGTTGAAAGCATTGCTGTCTGCTGATATTTTGATATATAAAACATTAAAACCTAGAAGACAATGCAAAACCTATCAAGTAAAAAGGAAGGAACATTTATCAAACTGGATTTCCTAATGACCTATATAACTATATTATTTATATAATTCTTTCAATTTTTTTTCAATTCACTTCAACGCACTCCAGTACTAGAGATTTGTAGCTATGTATGTGCCTTCTCCATAAATCTCTGCTAAACAATGAAACTATACTATGTACACCACAACGTTACAATGACAATCTCTCAAGCTTCTGAGTTCTGGCAATGAATCTACAAAAATCAGGAAGGTCACAAAAAACGTTTGTGACTTAGGTGTCCCTGTAAATCGGTTGTGGTGTCCACTTGAGATGCAAGTTGAGCTTTCCTGATTTGGTACCATCTAAGTCATAGGATTCTTTATATTCACCTTCCATTATCACCCTCGTCAATGTTAAGATGCATCGTCCCATGTAATCCTACACAAAGTGACAGAGCGAAAAACATGTGCATATTAATCAATATCTATCCTCCCCTAAATTTCCTTTTGCCCCTTTTAGAATTCTAGCCTAGTATTAGTCTATGATGTAATCTCATTTGTGTTGAGATTAAGGTATACATATTACATATATGTTTGGATTAAAGATTACAAGCAAGATATGTTGTCCAACTCCCTAATGCATGAACAAGGGACTCGAGAAGCAAAGGACAATCTAAGAAGAGGGACAAAATGAGAGGGAAACCAAGAAGATCCGACTTATTCCCACGTATAAAAATATATTTACCTTTCCAAAGGTGTCATGATCCCAGACTTCTAGAGTCAGCATGTCATGCAATCCATCCTCAACAAGAAAGTCAAAAGTCTGATTCCATTCTGGATTCAAACTTTTCATGACAACCTAGAAGTGCAAAACGAAAAAGACCGTATTTATGCTAACAACTTGAATATATTGCTTTCCCATGCATACTATGAAAGTAATAAATTATTGCGTCATGGTCTCAAAATAAAACAAGAAAAGAATAATACAGAATTTCATTGATCATTTCCACGAGTAACTTAAAGATTAGGTTGGATGGAGGATTTGGAAAGAAAGATTAAGGGTGTGTTTGAAAAATGGTGTTTCAGCAAAAAAAAAAAATAGTGGTTACTCTTTAGCGTTTTCAATAAGTGAAAACGATATTTGGTAAATAGTTGTTCGTCCCAAACGTTTTTGGACGAAAACGCTGCAAATGGCAGCGTTTTTGGGTTGGCGTTTTGAAATAACGCATTTCCTACTAATTGATACGGCCAAACAACTAAATTACGAAACATCTTTTTACAATCAGCCCACTTATTCCACTATTCAAACCCGCTAAGTGAATCCGCTATTAACAATCCGCTAAAATAATCCGCTATCGGCTAAATGTCATACATGTCTTAAGTCTATATATTGACAAATAGGATGTTTCTAGGAACATATAAAGGTGATTGATAAGTTTTATGATCACCCGTTATTGTACTCTAATTTTTATAAAATCTCAAACATTTCTGAATAGACTTGGGCCTCCAAAGCTATCCACTCCAAAATGCTCTATCCAAATGGTCCATGGGATCTATTTGGATAGAGGGCTTGGAAGAGGCTTTTTTAGTGTGTGAACATGATCTAAGAGAAATGAGAATGACACTGGAATGCTGGATATTGTGCATTATGTGAAACAGAAATGTGCACCATCATAAATTAGAAAATGTGATAAATTAGAAAATGTGCATTTGAACTGTGCATTAGCTTAATACCAAATGTGCACATTTGGACTATGCATTATTTTACCTATAAATGTGCACCTCCGTGAACTATAAATATGCACATTTAGAGGTGCACATTAATAATTAAATAATGCACATTTCAAATGCACAATTTCTAAGTTATGATAATGCACATTTCTGTTTTGCATAATGCACGACACCCAAATCGAACGCTAGAATCTTTCTCATTTCTCTCCTTAAATCGTATTCGCATTTGAACCAAATTCTATGTGGGTGTGTGTATTCAATATGTTATAAAATGTAAAAATCAACATAATATTCAAGATCGTACAATATTTTAATCAACTTCTATTTAGTTTTAGAGACATTCAATTTCTCAAAATATAGACTAAGCACTCCAAAGTGTTGCCCTCCATTCCTCCAAATACCTCCGAAGTCCCAAACCCTCCTACAGATAGAACCTAGGAGAAAATCAAAGGAAGGTTATCATATCAGGAATACAAAAAGCAACAACATACCCTTGTTTTGTTCTTTGTACCAGCTTTCCTTAAAGTTAGAACAACATAGGGATCAGCTTTCCCAAGAAGATCAGCTGCGGGAAGGTCATCAGCAGATATCACAGTGACCGAAAGTACCCCCCGTACAATTACCTCCCTTCTTTTGACATTGCTTCCATTTTCTTTCAACTCTGCACCACTTTTAAGAACTTTCTCTAACGAAGTCATTGAAAAATTATCATCAAAAGGGTCAGCAAACCCATTCTCCGTGCCAATTGGGCAATACAACAGTTCCAAGTTCACCTAAAAAGGATCAAGGAATACGTTCGAAATTTGGTTAACTCTAGTCAACAACTATACAATCTGATTAATAAATCAATTCAATTAATTACTTTTAAAATAAATATGTTCAGATTTAAGAACGGGTCATAAAAAATTGCAATGCTATGGAAAACTATATCTTCCATGTAACTGCGATCGAAAGCTATGACGATTACAGACTTACAGTTCTGAATTTCATCTCATTATTTTTTCCCATAAGATCGCAGCGAGGGAATCTGCCTTAAAAATTTGCATTTATGACATGCATAAACTTTTAGTGTTTTAATATTTTATAAGTTAGTTGGCACTAAAATTTCATGGCAAACAAGAGTTTTAACATTTACCCTAATCGTAAAACGACACAATGGAACTTCGGTTTATTATGCAATACAACTGCCCACATCATGCATGAAGATATAATACCCTCCCCTAATTGAATGGTATTATAATGAGGGAAATGAAATATTTTGGAAATAAGGTTATGAGCAAGGCAAGGATATATTGGAGATAACCCATCGCCCACCCCTTAAGAGAATGAGCTAGGGTAGCTCCCGCATACTTACTAAAAGAATATTTCCATCAATTCCTATAATTCATTGAGCATTTCATTGTCTGCCACTTGCTTAACGGTCCATTTGAGCCAGGAAGATACTATGGAAAAAATAAGAAAGAAAACATAGAGGAAAATTTGAAGAAAAGAAAATGTGGGGGAGATAGGATAAAAGTCAATATAGATATTTTAGATATTTGTTGATCCTCGTTTTATTCATGATGTCTCATTTAAAATATAAGTAACCCAAATGTGTGTGAAGCTATAAAATGCTAAGAAAAGAATGTTCCTTACCTTTTTTCTCTAGCACTGTCAAATTTGGGATCCAAACATGACCTAACTGATCGGAAACAATTTCCTTAAATAGGTAGAACCAAATAGATAAGTTCTCACCTGCCCTCTATCTTTTTTGTCTCTTTGTATCTCCAAGTCTTTAACCAATGGCAACCATAAGTCCTTCACTTTCCCAGGTTCAAGTTCATTCAACCGAACATGAGCACATCCAAGTAACTCACTAGCTTGAAATCCTTCATCATCATATATCTTTACCACCAAGTGTTGTGTTAATGGATCTTCAACAACAAACTGGTAATGCTCATTCCAGACTGGATTCAAATCATTGTTCTGAAATTAAAAAAGCATTGCATTCTAGTGAAACTTCATCTGAGCTGCTCTTTAAAACTAGAAAAGAAAAATAAGTAAATAACAATCACTTACAATTATCTTGCTTTTTTTAATTTTATCACGTACTGGGCGTACATATAACTCAGCAAAAGGATCAGACTTTCCAATGAGGTCTTTATTGGTTAAACCTTTTGCTTGTACAAGTTTCACCTCTAATTTTCCAACAGGCTTCAGTTCAAGATCACTATGAAGAGAGAGATACACATGTTAAGCAGATAAGTAGTATATAGTCCATATTTCACTATCAATAAATTAAGCATAGATTGTTTATATATTTTTTCTTGAAAATTGATGATACTCCCCCGCCATAACAAAAGCGGTGGTGTGATTGAGAAAGGTGCAACTAAAAAAATCAAGGAATCCTACCAAAATTTTCAAAAATTATTTTGGTTTAACTGAGTATACCATATTCGACTTATTTTCACTTTTTTTTGGAATATTACAGAGATAAATTAGCTACGCTTGTGAAATGTGACTTATTTTGTGGTTAAACATGTTTTAGAGAACTTATTTTTGTTGGGGGGAGTACTAGGATAGAACGACATACAAGAAACCTTAACCAAAGCAGAAAAGAATCCTCCCCCAATCCAACCCAACCAGCAACCCAACAATAAATGCATGTCTGCTTCTTAGAGTACAAATGATATATTGCCTCTCCAAATGCAGGATTGTTCTAATGAAAAAATAGCATAATAAAAAAACTCAGACAGTGGCATGTATAAATAATAGAAATAGTTCATTATAACTATTACGGAGTATAATTTATTTTTAATGCCTGCAAAAACCTACTTAGATTAGAACACAGGAGAGTTTTTTAAAAACTTTGGGCGAGTCCAACAAAAGATGGTATGACATATCTTTAAAATGATACCTGTAATCCCCAGGCAATATAGGAATAACTTTTCGGACAGGCCACATGATAGAATCTTCAATAGCATCTCGTATTGTACCCTTTAAAAGATGAAACTCTCAAGTTAAACCAGGACTTATAATGGATATATTGTAGATATATTTCAACAATGAAACTCCTCAGGATCAAAAAGTCCATTCCAATTATGTGTAAAAGCTTGGTAGCACCGAAACAAAAAACGTGACATGCAAAATGTGACACGTGAATGAAAAACGGATGTTTAATTTACTATCTCATAAAATTATATTTCCATATAAAGATATTGTGTCAACATTCAAAATGATCTAAAATTTGAATTTATTTTGTTGTATTAACTACAAAGCTAACACGAAAACCATTATTTCCAACTAAACTGATGAGAAACACATCTTTTTCAGAAAGAAAACATAACTTCATTATTTACAAAATTTATTGTAAAGCATTTATATATTTAAGGCAATGAACTCTACATGTCTCTTAGAGAGTCCTATCTCAATCATGTCAATACACAGTAAGCCTAACCCCCTAGAATTTCCATATATATATATATATGTAGTAGTATTAGAAGTAAGAACGGGAGTTCACAATGGCTATAGAACTGAAAACTAGTTGCAAAGAAAAAATAACATTAAAAATTGTTTCCCTACCTCAATTGCATCAGCCATGCCGGGTATTGCTGTCAGATCGCCACCAATTACTTTAAGTGTAAAATCGAGCTTTTTCTGCATTTGTTACAACTCAAAAAGAGAAAAAGAAAATATGAGAATATGATGTAAAAGAAACCTGATAGGAGTGTATCTCATGATAGGCGGGCTCAAAGGAACATGAAGAAGTATTATGGAAGAATAAATTCTTAGTTTCCGATTCATAGTATTATATTTAATTCTTATTCAGTTGCAGTTAGCTTCCTTTTAGCTTTTAACGTTATGATTCATATAATGATTAGGGCTCTTGTACTAGCTATGTAAGGAACCTTACTATTGCCCAATAAACTACTCTTTGGAGAATTCTTTTTGCTGTGACTTAACAAGGTTAAAGACCAATTAATTCCACAATAAGGATATGTTCTGAAAAACTCTATTTCGTTATCTCCCCTTAAATCTGGGGAAGATAACATAATCTCAACGATGCTCATAACAGAACCATGTAAGTCAATATAATCATTTTCCTTTTTAAAAGTGATATGCGGACATCCTAATAATCATAACAATAAGAAGAAGAATAATGAAAACTATTATTATTATAATATGAATGCCCATAGCAAGGAGAGACAATAATGACTTTTTTCTGTAATAGTACTACTAAATTAATTTAAGAACATAATAAATATACTAAAGGTATTAAAAACTTGTTAACTCAATTATAAATAACTTGATCTATGAATATTGTAATTGAGTGGTATTTAATATTAATGTTTAATCAAGTTACACCTTTTTAAATTTGGCAAGCTACAATGGATATAAGTCATTAATTATTTAATCCTACTTTCATTTTAAAAGTCATTTCATTTCAACTAAGTTTATCATCTCATGAGTAGCCACTACTTAGTGTGTACATAAAAACTGATGAAAATATCAAAGCAATATATGGGACTAATTTAGATATAAAAATGGCTAAGTTGAACTCCAAGTTTATATGGCAGTATAGCACCTTCTGTCTTAAAGATACACAAACTGCTCCAAAGCAAGGAAGCTCATCAACAAGTGGGCGAAAGATCAGCCTGAAAACTCCAGTAAAACCAATGTTTTTCACCTATATAAAGAAAAATAACAACACATTTACAGAAAACAAATGAAATTAAAATAAAATCTAAAAAGACAAGATGGTGGAAATAGATAGCAGCATAAGAGTCATGTTGTATAAAACATTAAACTAACTCTATCTCAAAAAGAGTCATATTTGTAATACTGAAATCAATACTAAAAGCAAGACTCTTTTTAAGACGGAGGAGGTATTGAACTAATTAACACTTGAATCTGAATATAGACCGTAGTTTTAAATACACTATATAAACTATGAATAGTACATAACATATTTAGTTCAATAATTGATATTATTTATATTTCATGATTTTTATATCAACAGTTGCAAATGCATGGATTTAGAAGAGATGTTCCCATCATCTAGTTAATATTTACTCAAAGCCTTGTTTATATTTACTCAAAGCTTAATTCAACTTCGGCAAAGTATTACTTATAAGTTACTCCATATAAAAGTTCAAGAGCATTTTCTATGTTGCAAGTTAGGTATGGGGGTGAATCCAAACCTGAAAAAAAAACATAGCCCCTCTATCCCAAATGGATAGTCATGTTTCGGATTTTAAGGTTTGAGGTTTGACTGGTGAAAAAGTTAACCTCTCCCGGACAAAATTGTATGTACAATTAACAATTGCAATATATATATTTAGAAATACATTAAAGGTTATATTGGATCGCATAAAAATAAGTTCAATGTGATAAAAACTTGAAACATATAATTAGTGATTAAAGGTGAATTGGGTTGATCGGTGAATAGTAAAGCAAGACCATAGCTTTGGGACAGAAGTAGTAACATTTTAGTGTAAAGATTAATGACTGGGGTACATCTGGAGCTTTTAATATGCAACAATGGAGTTACCTGCACTGGTAGTGCAACACCGACATAAGTCTTAATATCAAGTATTATATTAGGATTTCCATCCCATTGCATTTCTAACTCCATGGTAATACTTTCACTTCCATCTTCAATGATTTCTACTCCTGAAGAAAGTAATGGGCTTCAATTAATAGTTGATTCTTGAAGTGTTTCATATACCTTGGAGAATACTATCGTTAGTTAATAGGATTGGGATAAAGCAATTCAACCAAAGGGAAACTGAATAAACTCTACCTTTCAAATACGATATGTATGTTCAAATATAACACATCCAAAGAGAGAATAGTACTTCTTAAATAAAATTAATAGAAAATATGAAGAGCATCCCATAGCATGCATGAGGAAACAATGGCAATTGCAATTCTCAAGGGCTTACAAAATATAAACCAATAAAAAAGTTTCTCCTAAATTATTATTTCATAATAGCTGCAAACACAAACAAACGTCACAAACGCATCCAGGTTAACAACTAAGGGGTTGTTTAAATGGACAAAATGCATTCATTTCAACCTGTAAATTGGGGTGCAACAGTGCCAAGAGTGAATTTTGAAAACTTCAATGAGGCTAAAACCACCGGTCGGTATGACTCAAGAACAGGCTCAACACTCATCTTGATCAAATCAGAGGCTGCCTAAATCACCCCCATGAACACAAATAAATAAATATATAAAATGTGGTACTTAAACGTGGGTGAATATGCAACAAGCAATTCTAACCTCATTCACATATGGCCATATCTTTTCAAGATGACTATTGAGCCATTTCAACTGAACATTCATTTCCAATAAAGTAGAAACAGTTATTAGTATACAAACATGTAGGTTAAAAAAGAGAGTGAAAACAAAACCAAAGATATCACCTTTTGTCGCTTAGAGAAGACAACCCACGAAGGGTACTGGTCCGGGGTGAAAATCTTTCTAGAATCCTCCACCGTCATCCTTGCAAACGCCGCAACAGTATTGGCCTTCGGTTTCAAGTTCAAAAACATGAAATACAATAAATCCCAGAAATTCAAACAGCAAAAGCGCGAACTAGAAATTAGCAGATTCAGAAAGCAGTTCAACTTACGAGCTCGGAACGGCGTTTGGATCGGGCGTTCTCAGATTTCACAAACGCGACTATCAAAGCTAGGCCAACGACGACTCCTATCACAAGACCAAACAGGAACGCCATTGTTATGTCTGCCTCCCCTTTATGAGCAGAGCTGGGCGAAGCTAAGTAGAAAACCGCTGCAGAAACTGTTTCTTATTTTTCTTTGTCGTTTCTCGACTGTAATGAAGATCAAAATGTTTCTGGATCGTGAGAATCCGGCTGAAATCGAAGCTTAGGAGTTGAGGCGAGGAAGAAGCGACATGAACTTAGGTATGAGCTGGCAACCCGACAGCCTCGTTGACTAACGTTGACCCGTTTGGCTAAAAAAGACCCGAGTCCCCAACCACTGGAATACTGGATAGTCAGGGCAGGCAGCTAAGGGGGTGCAATTCATAATATTCCCAAGTAGTCCAATTTTAACTTGTTAAGCGAGTATTACTGGTTGCTTTTGCTTTAAAAACGGGTTTTAAAGTTATTTTGAAGAAAGTGGTTAATTGTAAAAGGTAATAATGTTTTGAAAAATAAAATATTTTGAAAGAATAATAGTTAGTAATGTTTGATAAAATAAGTGTCTTTTATATAATTTTCCGTAAAGAAAATGAAAAGGAGTTTAAAGTGCACATCTACCTGTTTTCAACTTTTAACTTGTAATTGTCATTTGAAAACATTTTATCACATTTTTAAACCTAAAACTGAAAGAAACTTTTTTAATTTTTGCAAACACTTCTGTTGTTTTCTACACATGCTTTCCCAACCATAAAATTTGATCAAATTATTTATTTAATTGTCTCATCAAATTGTATCATTTCCTTTCAAAAATAATAAATTTGTAGTTAACAATGTTGTTTTTAGCCCTTTGTCCAAATCATTGTCATAAACTCCGTAATTTTTATTTTATTATTATATTCCACATGCAAATTTGCTTTAACCAATATTATGTGACGTAGGAGTATTTTAGAAAATTAATGTCACTCAATAAGATTATAAGAATTACTTTATTTTTATTAGCTGTTTTCACAGTATCACACATATTGATTCATTTTTGTGAAAATGCTAACATGTTTATATTATTATGCGTATTTTTTCAAATATGATATTACTTACTACGTATTATTGATGTCAAATATTTAGCAAATCAAATCCCGAAAGAAATCCACGATCACGAGGAAACAGTTCACGCTTTGTGCTAGTGCCACTACCTTTCCCTCCAAAGCTTTCCCCATTCGACCTACTTGAGAACACTAACAGAACACTCTTTGACTCTCACTGACCAACGGATTCCTGGTGTTGTTACTTCTTCATTACCATTGATTATTCGGGATCATGTTGGTGCTGTAAAACCAAAAGGAATAAAAAAACTGGGGGGTACCGCATTGGGCAGAAGACGATCCAAAAAGCGGAGGCTCACCCAGCTGAAGGAATGAGCTTTGGAAGCTTACCGCCCCGTCGGTATGAAAAGGGGAAAGGGGTGAGATAGGCAAGAGGTAGCTTGCTTCCCAGACGGCCCGGTCGTGAGGAATCAAGAGGTCTTTGTCGGTGCTGACTTGGATCTCAGGTGACAGAATAAGGCGGCCAGAAGTGACGAGCAGTTGGGTTGAAGCTTGGCTCTAGATAGTAGGCTAGCAGTAAGTTTGACTACAACGAATCGCTTATCAAGCGCGAAGGAAAGGGTCTCGCCACTTGAGCCGTATGCGGGGGAACTCTGTTGGGGTATCACGTAGGGGTGATAATCGAGTACTTGGATTGCTTAAGAATCGTGTAAGTTCACTTTCCAAATTGATATTTCTCCCCTATGCCTGGGTTACAAGAAATTCAATCTAGGATAATCCACACTCTAGAACTTAGGCACAAGAACTAGAGTCAAACTAGTAAGTATATGGATTGTTTCGCTTTAATTTGAATGCCAAAGTGATGAAGATTAGTTGGATATGATTCCTCTACCATTCTCTTACGAAATATGGTGATATATATTCATATTAATCGTCCTAGGCGGTTGCAACACGCTTAAGAATATCCGCGACAGTTTTTGGGAAACTGTTGGAAACTACCCAACCATTCTAGAACTCGGTCTAGAACCACATAGCTGGTCTACTGAAAGTTATACCTCGAGTTCCACTAGCGTAGACAATTTGGAATTAAACTAGTTCTTATATATAAGTGTGCACTCCACACCTACTAACTTGTACTAGATCATAGTTCTAATCCCCAATGGCACTCATGTCATTTCCAATTACACAAAACGGCCGGTGACACTAAAATTACCAACAATTCTCCCCCATTTTAGTGTAACCCATGAAATGACATAACAAACCTTACAAACCAAAACTTGCACATAAATGAAAATGTCGATACGATTGAATTTCCAGCTTAGTATTTTACACATTCAAAATATTCGAGAATCGGGGTGTCCTACGGATTGAACCCTTCAACCCATTTGAATACCTCAAGATAAAATACATACAAGTTTCTATACTCAACTAGAATACAAACTTGACACAATTATAAAGTCGTGTGTCCTAATCCCATTCATGACCGTATAAAAGCCAAGTCCCAAGCTTTTTGAAGTGCGGCTACATTTCACGATCACATAGGTAATTCCTTTATTCATGTACCTACTTACATTTTATCAAAGGAATTATTAAGAAATAAATTCAGCCTCCCTACTACAGGTCCGAACACACACCTTGGGATGATTTTCATTGTGTGTTCCAATCCATTAAGTGTGAGCTTTCCGCGTTAAATTCAGCCTCTAACGTTGTATTAGAGGGGAATTGGGTGTCTCACCATTAAGGATTAAATGGACTTTAAACTCATCCCTATCACGGACTTGTGCACTAAGTCCCAGGCCAAACTTTTGGTCAAGTGGTCCGCCAAGTTATGTTGTGATCTTACAAATTCCACCGAAATTACACCATTCATGATTAATTCCCAAACTATGTCTAACACTCAAGTGTCTAGACTTGCCACTATAAACATGACTATATGTCATAGCCAAAGTGGCAGCACTATCACAATGGATAGAAATAGGTGCAATCGGTTTCTCCCACACTGGAATCTCAGAAATTAAATTTCTTAACCACTCCGCCTCTTTACCGGCGGTAGCCAATGCAACAAAGTCAGATTCCATTGTTGAACTTGTGATACAAGTTTTCTTCTTGGAAGCCCAAGAAATGGCACCTCCCCTGATAAGTCCGTATTTAGACACGCATTCGATGCGTGTTCAAGTCGGATTTTGATGATTTTCCTGGCTTTAAGGCGTTGCAAGTCTCAATTTTGGCTCAAGTTGTGTTTAACAGGCGTTGGATCAAGCTTCATTGCATTTGGAGGTGATTTGAAGAAGGTAAAGTCCGGCAATCGGCGCTTGAGAGGCATTCGGGAAGGATTTGAAGGCATTCGAGAGAGATTTGGAAGATTTGGAGGCCACCGGGAGATTCACGACGAAATTCTGGTGAAGAAAGAGCATTTGGATCGACGTCGTAGGCATTCGGGAGCATTCGGAACGAGAAACGAAGAAAAATGGTGAAGAAAAGGGCAGGCACGGCCGTGCCTAGGTCAGGCACGATCGTGCCTGCCATCTAAATCAACGTGAAGCTACTGGCAGCCAGACACGATCGTGTCCGGTGCAGGCACGATCGTGTCTGCATAATTTTTGCGCGTCTCTTCCGCAGGCACGGTCGCAGGCACGATCGTGCCTGGCACCGTGCCTGGCCCCGATTTATCCTTTTTCAGCTCAAACTCTACTGTTTTCTATAAATAAGGCCTCCATACCCACTTTCCGGGGTGACGAACATTACGGAGAGGCCTAGGGACGAATTTAACACCGTTTTTACGCTATTTTCTTCCAAGACCCTGGGATTATTTGTAAGTTCATCTTTTTAATTAATGACAATTATTTCTATTCATCCCAATTCTGTTGATTCTTTAATTATGAATTGTGAGTAGTTTAATTAGGGATTTGGGGTTGATGAAGGGGTTAATCATGATTGATGGCTAGATTCTTGTCGGTTTAATTGCATGAATGCCGTTTAATTTGTGTTTGAATAATTTAATTGATATCTCTTGTAACCTAGACTGCAGCTAGAATTACAATTGCATGTAGAATAAATTAAGAGAGATCTAATTTGTTCTAGGACACATTCACACACACTTAATCGTTCGCTAAGAGATTAGTAGCGATTAAGGGGCCGTAAGCTCGCTCGTCTTGGCAATAATTTAGGATCCTGTCGCATGAGAGATCAGCCTGGTCCCCTAAATTATTGTACTCTACGCCGCGAGAGCGGTAAGAACTTAGTAATGATTAGCTAGGCTCAATTAAATTTAAATTCATGTAATTAGGCCTGATCTGCCAGAAATCTGGTTACCCCGGAATCAATCCCTGTTCCCTTCGTCGTTAATTGAGAAGAAACCAATCTTTTATTTTTATCGCTCATTAGCATTAGTTTTAATTTTAATTCAACCAATCAATCTCGCACACTTGCATTTATTTATTTTTATTTCTTTTTAATCGCTAAAGTTTAGTTAATCTTTATTTCCCTTTTGTCCGTCCCTGTGGAGACGATACTCGTACTTTACACCACTTTTCTACAACTATTTTAGGTGGTCCGGTCCTTTTGTAGTGAGCGAAGTTTTTCCGTATGGAACTATTGAGATAGATCATCCTGAGAAGGGCCGTTTTAAAGTCAACGGCCATCATTTGAAGAAATATTACGGAGGACTGCTAGAACGCAAGCGTGAGGTGACCTTTGTCACGAATTTGGAGAGATGAGTGCGTAGTTGCGTCGGGCAAACGACGTTAAAAATAGCGCTTCTCGGGAGGCAACCCGAGCTTTATTTGTTTTTGTTTTAGTTTAGTTTTGTTGCTTTTCAAAAAACCCACAAAAACCACAAAAAAAAAAAAATCGTTTTTTTTTGTCAGGCACGGTCGTGCCTGGGCAGGCACGCCGTGCCTGCAGTAGGGGAAATTCACGCGAAGCTACTGCCTGCCAGACACGATCGTGTCTGGCTGGAGGCACGATCGTGCCTGGGACGCGAAGGGAACAAAGCCCACTGCCTCCCAGACACGATCGTGTCTGGCCTAGTCACGATCGTGCCTGGGCAATTTGACGCAAATACCCCCGCGACTTAAACAACAACACCCAGCTCCTTCCTCCCTCCCTCTTACGCGACCAAACAGCACCCCCACGATCCTTCTTCTTCTCCCTCGGCTTCTACGTCAACGACCCCCGCGAACCACCACCAGCGACCACCGGCGACCGCCACACCAACCGGCGACCCCTCCCCATCTTCTCTCTCTACTCTAATCGGCTAGCAAGGTATCTTCTTCTTCCCTTCCCCTTCTTCCACCATTAATGGAAGTCTTTCAAAGCTTTGAAAATTTCGAATTTGCCTGTGCTCAAATCTTAGGGATTGTGCTTTCTTTGTGTTAATTGAGGCTTGAATTGATGTTATTGATGCTCTTTGTTGATAAATTTGCCTCTTTTGATTGAAATCCCTAATTTTTGAGTTAATTTAGCCAATTTAGGGTTGAAAATTGATGAATGTGAGAAAAATTTGGGGATTTCGTGCTTGTTGCTTGAATTAAGAATTGAATTGTTGATTGTGATGTTGAAACCTTGTTGTTAATTCCATTTGAGCATAAATCCCCAAATTTTAGACCAAACTTTGTCTAAATTGCGAATTGAGTTCTTCCCTACTTTAGTTATCTCTCTACTTCTTTTGTGCTTGTGATGAGTACGCTTTCTTGTAACCTTGTTTATACCGTGTGTCGTTGAAAATTTGAACTTTTATTCAAAGAATTCTTCTTTGATAAAAAAAAATTCAAACTTTTCAACTATTCTGGTTAAACTTGGGTTTGTTCTACTATGATGATATTTTTGCCTGAGTAAGTGCCGACGGGGCCATTGCTGTACTTTGAAAATTTGTTCTAACATTTGGAAGCCCCGTTGGAATTCTTGTTTTGATTTGTTTTAACAGATGGCACCAAGGCAGAAGCAGACTAGAGGTGGAGGTGCCGGCTCTAGCCGAGGCAACACAAGCCGGTACCAGCCAAGGTTCCCGCAACTGCGGGACGAACTGAAGCATACGGAGCTGCTGCAAAAGCCTATGGGCACATTCTACTTTCCAGATGAGGACTCTCTCACGGCAGCAGGAGTGAGAGATGACGTGATGTTCCTTTTGAGACGTGGGTGGTGGAGGCACTTATTCTTTGGGATCCGTGATATCACATATAGAGAGATTACTTGCGAGGTGCTTGCGACATTCAAGATGCCGAAGGTCATCCCTATTGATGACAACCATAGGCCCGTCATCAATTTCCGGGCATTCGAGGAGGATCATGCCATCTCCATGGCGGAGGTGCGCTATCATTTGGGTTTTATGGGGATCGAGGATAACGGCCAGCACGAGGCTACTTTGACAGACTTTCCCCCAGGCGTCGACCGCCAGGCATTCTGGGAGTCGATTACGAGAGATGGCGGGACCTACACACCGAAGAAGTCCCCTAGCACCCTACTTTACCCCCGCCAGTACCGCATTATACACGCACTCCTTTCCTCCACCATCACCGGCAAGGCCGAGGTTGCCGGTAAGGTCACTCAGACGGACCTCTTCTGCTTATATTGTATGATCCACAACTGCAAGCCCCACATGGGCTATCTCATAGCCAAACTCCTCCACCGCCAAGCCACGAACCACATCAAGGCCATATATGTTGGCCCATTCATTACGAGACTGTTGACTAGGATGGGGTTCGGGGACCGCTTTCAGAGGATGGAGGAGAGCTCCAGTTTTGCTGCATTGACCCGGCTTCCCGAGGTCAACACTGGCGTGGCGAGGAGGAGGGCACAGCCGGCAGCACCAGCAGGAGGAGGAGGACAGCGAGCTGAGGATGATGATGATGATGACATTGATGATGATGATGAGGTAGAGATGGAGGAGGCTGCTCACGAGGCTTCATATGATGCACCCCCCTACGGCACAGCTTTTCCGGATTCTTGGGCGGGGATGCATGCGCATCAGGATGCCGTCTATCGGCAGTTGTCCGCTGAGCAGCATGAGCGGTTCGATCAGATGCGCTTCGAGCAGCAGGACTTTTACAGAGAGATGAGGGAGGACCAGGCACTCCACTATTCACAGCTCCAGTCTCAGTATACCCGGATTGACGAGAGACTCACCTCTATGGAGACTAGCTGGAGTTCATTCTTCGATGCCTACCCACCTCCACCCCCTCCCGAGTATTAGATGTTATTTAGACTGTCCTCTGCTAGCATCTGTATCATTTTTACTGTTGGATGACTGTACCGTAAACACTATCACACTCACACTCTCACTCTTTTACATTAACTCTTTATTTTGTGCTTTGCTTGGTGTTCATGATTTGTTGCAGCTTAGTGGATGAATGTGTTCGTGCGAATCAAGACTCAGTTCTGTTCCTGACTGACCAACGCCATAGGGGAGTTTCCATGATTCTTTGAACTTGATGCGTAATGTTAACTTGAGTTAATTTTAAGCACGCGTGACCCTTTCCTCTTTACCCCTAGTACATAATGCATATTTGGTCATCGAGGACGATGCCAAAGTTTAAGTGTGGGGGAGTGAATTGGGCATTCGGGCAGTAGTTGTTACATGAGATTTATTAGAGTTAGCATGCGCAGGTGTTAGTTGTATATTCATAGGAAATTCATGCAAAATTTTGAAAATTTTTCTTTAAACTATGTCTTTGTGAGCTGGCTAGCATTTTGACTATGCTTTTATGACATTCTTGAAGTGTTTAGGCTTAAATTGCTTGCACTATAATCTAGTCGTTGAAAGGATGAAGGCATTAGTTACCCATTGATTTAATCCATTAGTCATCCACCCCACCTGAATAAGACCCTTTAGGAGAAGCCATTTTGAGCCTGACCGTTCTTTGTTTACCCAATTAATTTAGCTCCATAGCCAAATGGCCTGCTTTCTACCCGTGAATATTTCTGACTTAGTCTTGATGTTTAGGGAATTAAGGGAATAATTTGTTAAGTTTAGGGAATTTTGTGTAGGAGCCATTTTTGGCACTGTTCCTATGCCCCAAATAGGGTAAGAGCAGTCACTTTTTAGGAATATGATACTTTCGAGGATTGCATTGTAGGCATGGATTCACTTTTAAATTAATGAACTTTAATTGCTATTTTTCCTTGGTGAGGCCGAGATTAGAATGGGGTAATGTCTAGTAAGAATCCGAAAGGTGAAAAATTAATATAGCTAGACCTCTTACTTTGCGAAAAAGAGAATGGGAACCCTGGTCAAAAAGCGTAAGATGAGACTTGGGTATCTTTCGAAAGAAACGGCGTTCTCGTGCCAACATGACAAGGAAAACTAAACTTAAAATTAATGAACTTGGAGGCTATTTCGAAACTTAGCTTTAGTCCTCCGCGTACTTCAAGTATACGTCAAAGCACAAATGCGCCGAGACGGTTTAGCTTAGTTGTACACCATGTCTACTCTTTGCATAGGTTTAAATGATTGTTCCTAAATTGTGGCCTACTGAGTTCTTTGATCCTAAGAATAGCCTTGAAGTTCCTGAAAACATTGTGTCTTTGTTAGAATATTCCTACCTCTCAAAATAAAGGGACTATATTCGTTAACCATTCACCATCAAATTCACAAGTCCTTCTGATCAGTAGCTAGCCTATTTGTGTATGCTGTCATTACTTTGAGGATGTTGTGAATACTTGTGTCAAATAGTTTAGTCTGAGTACAAAGGTATAGTTTAGGGAAGAATTTTCTTGGTTTAAATTGTCTGTCCTGTGAATATCCCTTTAACTACGTGAGTATGCTAACTGTTTTAAATTTCGTGTGGTGATTATCGTAAGTCCCGTTGTTCGATTTGCTTGAGGACAAGCAAAAGCTTAAGTGTGGGGGAGTCTGATAAGTCCGTATTTAGACACGCATTCGATGCGTGTTCAAGTCGGATTTTGATGATTTTCCTGGCTTTAAGGCGTTGCAAGTCTCAATTTTGGCTCAAGTTGTGTTTAACAGGCGTTGGATCAAGCTTCATTGCATTTGGAGGTGATTTGAAGAAGGTAAAGTCCGGCAATCGGCGCTTGAGAGGCATTCGGGAAGGATTTGAAGGCATTCGAGAGAGATTTGGAAGATTTGGAGGCCACCGGGAGATTCACGACGAAATTCTGGTGAAGAAAGAGCATTTGGATCGACGTCGTAGGCATTCGGGAGCATTCGGAACGAGAAACGAAGAAAAATGGTGAAGAAAAGGGCAGGCACGGCCGTGCCTAGGTCAGGCACGATCGTGCCTGCCATCTAAATCAACGTGAAGCTAATGGCAGCCAGACACGATCGTGTCCGGTGCAGGCACGATCGTGTCTGCATAATTTTTGCGCGTCTCTTCCGCAGGCACGGTCGCAGGCACGATCGTGCCTGGCACCGTGCCTGGCCCCGATTTATCCTTTTTCAGCTCAAACTCTACTGTTTTCTATAAATAAGGCCTCCATACCCACTTTTCGGGGTGACGAACATTACGGAGAGGCCTAGGGACGAATTTAACACCGTTTTTACGCTATTTTCTTCCAAGACCCTGGGATTATTTGTAAGTTCATCTTTTTAATTAATGACAATTATTTCTATTCATCCCAATTCTGTTGATTCTTCAATTATGAATTGTGAGTAGTTTAATTAGGGATTTGGGGTTGATGAAGGGGTTAATCATGATTGATGGCTAGATTCTTGTCGGTTTAATTGCATGAATGCCGTTTAATTTGTGTTTGAATAATTTAATTGATATCTCTTGTAACCTAGACTGCAGCTAGAATTACAATTGCATGTAGAATAAATTAAGAGAGATCTAATTTGTTCTAGGACACATTCACACACACTTAATCGTTCGCTAAGAGATTAGTAGCGATTAAGGGGCCGTAAGCTCGCTCGTCTTGGCAATAATTTAGGATCCTGTCGCATGAGAGATCAGCCTGGTCCCCTAAATTATTGTACTCTACGCCGCGAGAGCGGTAAGAACTTAGTAATGATTAGCTAGGCTCAATTAAATTTAAATTCATGTAATTAGGCCTGATCTGCCAGAAATCTGGTTACCCCGGAATCAATCCCTGTTCCCTTCGTCGTTGATTGAGAAGAAACCAATCTTTTATTTTTATCGCTCATTAGCATTAGTTTTAATTTTAATTCAACCAATCAATCTCGCACACTTGCATTTATTTATTTTTATTTCTTTTTAATCGCTAAAGTTTAGTTAATCTTTATTTCCCTTTTGTCCGTCCCTGTGGAGACGATACTCGTACTTTACACCACTTTTCTACAACTATTTTAAGTGCGAGAAAACTCACATCATCCCCCGAGCAAGAATACCCAACCACTTGTAGAAGAATGATCCTCTACATTGGATATCCAACTTGCATCCGAATATCCCTCTAATATCAAAGGATACTCAAAGTAACACAAACCATAATCCATGGTTCCCTTCAAATACTTGAACACTCTGTTCATTGCTTGCCAATGTTGAGTACTAGGATTACTAGTAAATCGGCTCAATCTACCCACGGCATAAGCAATATCCGTTCGAGTACTTGTCATGGCATACATCAAACTACCAATGGCTTGAGAGTACTCAAGTTGTGATACCGTCTTTCCTTTATTAGGCATCAACCTCACACTAGGATCCATGGGAGTACCAACGGGTGAACAATCACTATAATTAAACCTTTTGAGAATATTCTCAACATAGTGAGCTTGTGTCAAAGCAATCCATTTGTTTACCCGTTTAATCCTTATACCAAGGATCACATCTGCCTCCCCCATGTCCTTCATGGAAAACCTTGATGATAACAACCTTTTGGTTTCATCAACTTGATTTTGGTTCGTTCCAATAATTAACATGTCATCAACATAGAGACATATGATCACACCCACCCCGAAGGCATCAAATCGGATATAAACACACTTGTCCGATTGGTTTAAACTAAAACCATTGGAAAAAATAACTTCATCAAACTTTTGATGCCATTGTTTGGGTGCTTGTTTCAGCCCATACAATGATTTAACAAGTTTACAAACCTTGTGCTCATTTCCCGGCATAACAAAACCTTCCGGTTGTTTCATGTAAACTTCCTCATCAAGATCGCCATTTAAAAATGCCGTCTTGGCATCCATCTGATGTATAATCAGGTTATGTATAGCTGCCAAAGCAATTAACAACCTAATGGTTGTAATTCGAGCAACCGACGCATACGTGTCAAAATAGTCAATTCCGGGGTTTTGTCTAAAACCTTGAATGACTAACCGAGCCTTGAACTTGTCAACAGTTCCATCCACTTTCATCTTCTTTTTGAAGATCCATTTGCAACCTAAGGGTTTAGAACCCGGTGGCAAATCCGACAACACCCAAGTGTTGTTCTCCATAATTGATGACATTTCA